CGGCCCCGCCCCACGCCCCGCCCCACGCCCCGGAGCCAGGTCCCCGAGAGCCCCCTCAGCCCCCTCCCCGGAGCTCCCAGGCCCAGCCCGAGGCAGGCAGCGGGCTTTCACAGAGCCTCTAGAAGCCTCTCAGGAGGAAGTGTCCTTGGCCAGGAAGGAGCTGGCAGTGGCGCAGGACTCCTCCTGGGGCCCCGGGCTGGGTGGGGCCCGACTCTGGGCGCAGCAGAGCAGGCTGCGCAGCTCGGAGGACACACTGCTGCTGAAGAAGGCGTAGATCCAGGGGTTGGTACAGCTGTTGAGGCTGGCCAGCAACATAAGCAGCACGAAGGGGGCCTCTGTGGGGGTGGAAGAGTCCGGGCTGGGACTGAGGTTGCCCATGCAGAGGTGCAGTGACCCCATCTGCTCACTAGGGAAGAGCAATCCACGTGAGCCCATGGGTGCTCCCGAGCCCGAGGCTGGAGGCGTCTGGGGGTGAAGGTGTCTATGCGGCCGAGCCTGGCCGGTCCCCCGCAGTCCTAGCCGCGGCCACACGCACCTTCCAGGGGCGCCTTCGGGTCCCACGCTGCCCACAGCTGTACGAGGAAGAAAGGCGCCCAGCACAACACGTAGACAATCACAATCACCAGCGTCATCCTCACGGTCTTGGCCATGGCTGCTGACACCCGGGCCCCCTCACTGGGGCTGCCGGTCCGGTGCCCTCCACGGCCACCCCCAGCCCTCTCTGCCGGCCCCAGCACCAGGCTGGCATGAATCTCTCGGAAGATGAGCACCTGGCAGGCAGCGATGCCCAGGGCAGGTGCCACAAACACCATTAGGGCGATCCAGGTGACGTAGGCTCGGAGGCCCCAGGGCTCAGCAAAGTGGGCCCAGCAGTCAAGGACCCCACTGCCATTTCCCACGTCACGCTGGGCAAAGATGAAAAGCTGGGGCAGGCTGAAAATGAGCGAGAAGGCCCAGGCCACCAGCACCGGCCGGTTCCAGTGAGCTCCACCTCCGTGGCGGTACACCAGCATGGGGTGGCAGATGGCGCGGTGGCGGTCCAGCGTCATGGCCAGGATCATGTAGGAGGAGGCATACATGCCCACCATCTGCAGGTACTTGACTGCCCGGCACAGGGCATCAGGCCCACGGAAGCGGTCCGTGGCATCCCACGCCAGCTGGGGCAGTACTTGGAACAGAGCCACGGCCAGGTCGGCCAGGCACAAGTGACCAATGAAGACGTGCATGGGTGCCCAGCGACCCCGCCGGCCCCGGCGCGCTAGGACCCCCAGCACCAAACCATTGCTCAGGGCCACGGCCACAAAGACTGTGGAGAGCAGGGCTAGCTCCGCCTGGACGAGCAGCGGGTTCCGGGTGTCCAGCAGCTCCTTGCTGCTGTTGCCAGGCAGAATAGGTGGAGAGAGGGTCCAGGGCACAGCTGGGCAGGGGTGGAGGAAGAGGGCCAGGTTAGGGGATGTGCTGGGCACGGGGCCCTGGGCCCAAGGAGGTTCCAGCTGGACAGGCGGAGCCAGTGGTCCGAGCAGCCATCAACCTGGGCCTCCTGCTTCCCTCCAGCCTCCCTTGTCCCGGCTCCCAGCAAAACAGATGGCATTCCCGCCTCACGTGCTGGGGAGGGAAGGGCAGCCCCAGCCCCCAGTGAGCACGCAGGGCCGTGCCCTCCCCTCCCCGCACGGGCAGCCTGGAGAGCAGGGTGAGGGAGGTCTCAGGAAGAGGGGCTTCTTTGCTTCTTCCAACCCCACTCAGCCTACCTGGCTCATCCCAGTGGAGGGATTGGCGGGGGGATGGGTCGGGGCCCCGGGGCTGGAACCTTACCAGAAGTGGTGGATGCCACGAGCATGGTGGGGCCGGGGCAGGTGTCTCGAGCGCCTGGAGGAGACACGGTATCGAGCTCAGCCTCCCATTCGAGGGGTCAGCCACGTTGTCCTAATCTCTAGACAGGGGCCCCTAGAGAGGTGGTGAGGTCTGGCCCCACTGAGCCAGTCACGGACCTCAGGGCCCCCTGTGCTCCTCCCAATCCTGGGCAGGTTAAGATAGAAAGGAGCAGTCATGCAGGTGGATGAACATGTCCTAGGACCCATCTCGGCAGCCCCCGCAAGACCTGAGGCAGACACACAGGCCCGCCTCCCCCAAACACGCAGATGGAGGCCGGGAGAGGTGGCCGTGGGAGGGCAGGGGCTGGGCAGGAGAGGCCAGCATGTCCCCAGGGCCCCTCGAAGCCCCTTACCTGGCTGGGCTCTCTGGGCTCCGGGCAGCTGGGCAGTGGCGGATGCGAAGGTGGCCCAGGAGCTCAGATCTGCTCTCCATCCCCTGCCCCGCCCCAGCCCGGCCTCTGGGAGTGACCTGCCCAGGAGGGGACTTCCTCTCCCTCCCCTCCCCCACGTGCCTCTCCTGGCCTCCTGCCTGTGGCACCGGGAAATAGGCTCCTGGCCTCCTGTGCTGCCTTTCCTGTCCCGGCCCTCCCAGGTCTAGTCCCTAGGAGTCCTCCCCACCCCCCCACTCGTGAGGGCCTGAGCCCTCCTATGCTGGTCCCCAGCTTGGTCTGGCCGTGACCATCAGGCAAGCTTTTCTCCCAACCCCTGCCTGCGCCCGCCCCCCGCGGGGCCCACCTTACCAGAACATCAGGTCCGGCAGGGCTCTGGGAGATCAGGTAGCTCAGCAGCTCCATTTTATAAGTGGGGAAACTGAGGCCAGAGATGGGTGGGGCCGACTGAAGGGCACCCAGCTTTCTCCTGGCACAGCTTGACTCCTTTCTCACACCAGGTTCCTTCTGTCCCTCTTGGGCCCTGGCGAGGAAGGGGTGAGAGCTCATGGAATCCCCAGTACATGAGTGTTGGCTCCTCCTGGGCCTATGAGGGCCTCCTCCGGAGATGAGGGACCGGAAGGGAGGGGGCGGGGCGGGGTCAAGCCAGGGCTTAATGCGCCCCTGTGAGAGCCAGCTTCCTCCCCAGGGTCCTATGGGAGCCAGGGACGCCCCCCCTCCTCCCCCACCTGCACCTACCTGTCTTAGGAGGAGGGGGTGGCTTCAGATCTCTGTCTCTCTGTCTCTGTCTGTGTCTCTGTCTCTCTCACACACAAACAGACACACACAAGAGCCATATGCCTACAAAGGCACACTTGACCCGCTCATGTCCCCGCACACTGTGTGGAGGGTCTGAGAGAGGGGCTTCCCCTCCTGGGGCCTCAGGGCTGGGCTCTCCCTCCTTGTTCTCCTCGGCGTCCAGGACCCCTGCCCCCTCCAGTCCATCCTTTCTGTGTCCTGTCCCAGGAGCCCTCTTTCCAATCCTCTCCTGCTCTTGCCACAGATCCCGGCCTTGCTCAGCCAAGGCCTGCACAGCCCAGCCCAAGGCAGTGGCCCGCATGCCTCCTAGGGCCAGGCTCTGAGCCCAGTTGGCCCTGTTTTCCTGTTTGTCCGTCTTCCCTGATGACCTGCAAGGCTAAAAGCCAAAACAGCTTCCCACTGACCAGGCAAAAGTATAGCCCAGACTAAGGCCTCCTCTTCCTGGCCTGGCGGGGGCGTGGGGGGGGGGGAGGCAGCAGGGGGCGGGGTCTTCCACACTTACTACGTGCACACGTGCCATACATTCACACACACACGTCTTTATAATGTGTTTTGCTGACATCCCATGTCAGAACCCTTCAGCCACACCTCCTAAGAACAAGAACTTTCTCACTTTCCTCCCTGTAACCACACTGCCATTATTAACCTAGAAGCATAGAAACAACTTTTCTACTACTGTCCAGATCAACAAAAATGGTAGAAAGTAGGAGTTCCTGGGCAGGATTCTAGAACAGATTTTTCAAGGGAAAGCTATGAGCCACTGGTAAAAAGTCACACCACACCTGCATCCTTTCTCATGCCCCCACCCCCTCCCGTGCCAGGGACCTAGCCTCGCAGGTGGAATGGGACCTCTCCCATCTGCCCAGGAAACTGAGGCACCTGCGGAGGACACATGTCCTCGCCTGGCGCCTCGACCGCTGTGTGACCTTGCAATTCGGGCTTCAGCTTCTGTCTCTGTAAAATGGGAAGCCAACCCCCAAAGGCTGACGATGGTGACAGGATGGGCAAAGACCTGAAGCCGGCTGGCAATAAGCCCCGGGAAGAGCCTACTTTTGCTACGCAGGGGGCCGCATGGGCAGCTCGAGAGGGAAGCTGAAGGGTCTCTCTGTCCAGATCCCGGCAGAGAGCGACGTGCAGGGCGGAGCCCCTGAGCCGGGAGGCCACTTCCTTGGCCATCGCTATTCCCTGCACTCCTTGTTTCCTGTTGTCGAGCCTGGGGCAAAGATCTTGGGGAAGGCCTCTCCCTCCTCGGTGGTTCTCTCCCGGCTCCAAGAGGCAAGGGTGTGTGGCCACATCCAGACCAGACGTTAAAGCGAGACTGGGCCCACAGCTTGCCCCTGCTAGCCTAAATAGGTGCTGGGGAACTTCAGGAGGAACTGAGAAGCCACCAAGGCCAGAGGGCACGCCAGAGACAGAGGACATGCCAGAGAGGGTCTGGATCCTTCGCAGCTGCTGCATGGGCACTGGGCCAGGTGAGATGCTGGCCCAGGCTGGCTGAGTCCCACCTCCTGCAGTGAGGAGCTGATCAGAGGTGACAGGCCTCAGGCAGGCCCCTGCCCCAGGTCCCCCCCCACCCCGCCCCGGGGCACTAAAGATGGGGCTCAGCAGCAGTTCACGGGAAGAAAGGCTGACTGGCTTATTCACCGTCAAGGCCACGTGAGTCGGCAGAGATGGTACTGGGCAGCCCAGAGCCCCCGTCCTCTCATGAACCGAGAGCAGGGCACTGACCTGGAGGCCACTCCTCCCTGAGACAGGCAGATGGGTAGGGGCCGTGGAGAGGAGAGAGAAGGGATCCCCGAGAGGTGCTTGGGGCATGGCCGAATGCACCCACACTCACCCCGGGGAGCACTGAGAAGCTGGTTCTGAAAGGCCAGAGAAGGGCTTGGCCACGGGGCGGGCCAGTTAGCCTCAGTGGGCCTCAGGCCGGGGGGCAGGACCGAGCAGACACCCCCCCACACCCCATGCCCCCAGGATTACATTTGCAGGAAGGATTTTGTGGGTAGCCAAGGTGTGGGCTTGTGTCTCCCCCAGCCCAGTGTGTGAGTAGAAGAGGACAGGAGGCCTCGGGCCGGGGCACTGAGCCTCCCAGGTGCCAGCCACCAGGGCAGGGGACCAGAGCTGGCGGGACCCGGATCTGCCTGTCTTGCTCTGTCCCTGGCTCTCTGTCATCAGAACCCTTTGCTCCACAAGCAAGTGCTGAGGGGTCTGTGCCCTGCGTGCAGAGGTGGGAAGACCCGGGCCCTGCCCCAAAGAGTGCAGGGTCCTGTGCCGGTCCAGCTGAGAGGGCTGCGCGCGGGGAGGCCACCGCCCAGGGGAGAAATGGTGGGACCCCGTTAGCGGGTTAATGGAACGGAGGGGAAAGACATTTCTCGGGCCCTGAATAAAACCCTGAAGGACCATTTCGGGGATGAGAGAGGAAGAGGAGGCCGCCAGACCCACGGAGAAGGAGCGATAGAGCCAGGAGAGCATCTGGCCAGGAGGCCGGCAGGAGAGATGGGCACGTCCTCACTGCAGATGGCCAACCCCGCGCAGGGCCGGACTGATGAGCGAGGAGCGGATGGAGGGGAGCCTGACGGCAACCGAACACCTAGGAGAGGCTCCAGGGGTCTGCAAGAGTGTTGGGGCGGAGGGTGGGGTCCACTGGGGCAAAAACACATTTAATAAAAACACATGGGACATGCATGGGTCCATGGTGCTAGCAAGACAGGGTGTCCACTCACCTGAGGTCCAAATTCAAGTGAATAGTAATTTTGAAAGTTAGACAAAGCCTGCTTGCCAGTTTCGGGAGGAAAGAGAGTGGTGCTTGGGTTAGGAGCCCCGAAGGCTGGGAGAGGCAGCGTTCCCAGCGGGCACTGGGAGCACCCCTCTTCTGGGCTGAGAACCTGGGGGCATAGAGGGCAAGTGAGCGGTGAGGGCTGTGCCCCCAGATGACCACGAGGTCCTCGTCTGATGGGAAGGCAGCCTGGCCGAGGGCATCTCCTTTCCGGTCAGAGGTAGCCAGGCATGTGGTTGCAAGTGCCCCCGCCACGCACCCCCCCTTCCTCCTGCCAGCCTTCCATTGATGGTGGAGGCTAGGGCCACTTCATCATCGTTCAATGTTTCCACTATTCTGACTGCCGTGACCTAGGCAATGATTTCTCTCCGTGGCTTGGCAGACTTTTTAAAATCAGACTTTTTGGGCGCCTGGGTGGCTCAGTTGGTTAAGCGACTGCCTTGGGCTCAGGTCATGATCCTGGAGTCCCGGGATCGAGTCCCGCATCGGGCTCCCTGCTCGGCAGGGTGCCTGCTTCTCCCTCTGACCCTCCCCCGTCTCATGCTCTCTATCTCTCATTCTCTCTGTCTCAAATAAATAAATAAAAAATAAAATCTTTAAAAAAGAAAAAATAAAATAAAATCAGACTTTTTGAGGTATGATTCATATCCAATAAAATTCACAAATTTTTCTTACACATGTATACAGTGGTGTAACCACCACCATAATCATGATATAGAACATTTGCCTCACTCCAGAAAGTTCTCTCATGGCTCTTTGCCATCTCCTCCCCCTACCTGGAGCCTGGCAACCATGATCTTTCTATCAATATAGATTTGTCTTTTCTAGAATTTTATAAAAATAGAATCATAGAGTATGTAGTATTTTGTGCCTGGCTTCTTTTACTCAGCAGAATGCCTTTGAGTTCACATCTGTTGCTGTGTGTGTTAGGAGTTTGTTCCTCTGTTGTACGGACGGACCACAGATCATTGATTCCATTACTAGTTGAAGAACACGTGGGCTGTTTCTAGTTTGAAGCTGTTATGAATAAGGCTACTCTGAATCTTGAGTACAGGCCTTTGGGTGCGCATGACTTAACTTCTCTAGAGTACGTCCTTAGCGCCGAGACTACTGGGTCAGTCGATGAGAACCTATGGGCCTACTGCTTTGCATCTGTGCCAGCCTGTTTAATTTGAATAGTATTTTATTGGGATCTTATTTTGCATTTTCCTTGTGACTGATGATGGTGAGAATCTTCTCATATATACATATATATTTTTTTAAAGATTTTATTTATTTATCTGACAGAGAGAGAGAGATAGTGAGAGCAGGAACGCAAGCAGGGGGAGTGGGAGAGGGAGAAGCAGGCTTCCCGCCGAGCAGGGAGCCCGACGCGGGGCTTGATCCCAGGACCCCGGGATCATGACCTGAGCCGAAGGCAGACGCTTAACGACTGAGCCACCCAGGCGCCCCGAGAATCTTCTCATATATTTATTTGCCATTTGTATACATTCTTTGGTGAAGTATCTAGTCAAATCTTTTGTCAATTTTTAAAAGTTTTCCCCATTATTGAGTTGTAAGAGTTTTTTTCATTTTTAATATATTTTGGATACTTCTTTAAAAGATACGTTTTGTAAATATTTTCCCCAGTATGTGGCTTGTGTTTTCATTGCACTAACAGTCTCTTTTAAGTTATTTCTACCCCCAAAGTGGGGCTCAAACTCACGAGCCTGAGATCAAGAGTCACATGTTCTACCAATTGAGCCACCCAGGCGCCCGTAACAGTCTCTTTTAAAAAGCAAACTTTCAGGGCACCCAGCCAGTTCAGTCAGTAGAGCATATGACTCTTGATCTTGGGGTTGTAAGTTTGAGCCCCCATTGGGGGTACAGATTACATGAGAAACATTAAAAAAATAAAATCTTGGGGCACGTGGGTGGCTCAGTCGGTTAAGCGTCTGCCTTCGGCTCAGGTTATGATCCCGGGGTCCTGGTATCGAGCCTCTCGCATCGGGCTCCCTGCTCCGCGGGAGGCCTGCTTCTTTCTCTCCCACTCCGCCTGCTTGTGTTCCCTCTCTTGCTGTATCTCTCTTAATTTAAAAAAAAAAAGTGCTTAAAAAAACACATAGATTAGAAAGAAATGTGTTTTTATTCGAGATGACATTATTATCTATGTAAAAAAAATCCTAAGAAATCTACAAAAACCAATAGAACTATTGAGTAGGTTTAGCAAGGTCACAGGATAAACAGTCAATATGCAAATATCAATAGTATTTCTATATACTAGCAACTGACAATCAAATTATGACATTTAAAAGTACCATTGGTTGGGGCACCTAAATGGCTCAGTCAATTGAGCGGCTGACTCTTGATTTCAGCTCAGGTCATGATCTCAGGGTGATGAGACTGAGCTCCGCATTGAGCTTCATGCTCAGCACAGAGTCTGCTTGTCCCTCTACCTGCCCCTGCCCCCACTCATGCGCTCCCTCTCTCTCTCTTTCAAATAAATAAATAAAATCTTTAAAAAAATAAAAATAAAAAAGCATGTGGTTTCACCATTTTTTCGGTTCCTCATTTCCTTACCAGTGTTCCTGTGTGTTGCAAAACTTACATAAATGTATGTGCTTAAGGGCGCCTGGGTGGCTCAGTCGGTTAAGC